AGGGAATTCCAGACACCAGGGCTGGGTGAGCAAGTGCCTGTTGGGGAAGGCCGAGAGGTCATGGATGCCTGAGAAGGAACATGAACTTAACTTAGCAGGAAAAGGGGAGTCATTGCAGGCTTTGGGGCCGAGGCGCATGCCCTAGAGCTGGGAGCTTGTTTGGGAAAATTGAAGTGAGGCCTGGCCTGCAGAGATCTGGCCCCCAGGAGGGAGAAGCCCAGGGATACAGTGCTTGGGAGTTACTCCGTGAGGTGCCTGCAAGAATGGAATGGGGCAAAGTGAGGTGGGAGGATGGGCCTCGGGCAGGAGGAAGGCTGTTTCCTCTCTATTTAGGAAGAGGGAGGGACAATGCGGTGCCCATAGGGCAGTGCACTGAGGTTCCCCTAGGGGCTTCTGAGGAACTCACAGACTCAGGGACAGAGAGCCAGGTTTAAAATCTGGTGGGCCTGGGGCGCCTGGGTAGCTCAGTTGTTAAGGGTCTGCCTTCGGCTCAGGTCATGGCCCCAGGGTCCTGGGATCGAGCCCCGCATCTGGCTCCCTGCTCAGTGGGAAGCCTGCTTCTCCCTCTCCCACTCCCCCTGCTTGTGTTCCCTCTCTATGTCTGTCTCTCTATCCAAAAAAAAAAAAAAAAATCTGGTGGGCCTGAAAGTGCAAAGCCACCTTACAACAGCATTTCCCCGTCCCGCTTCCTGCCCCTTATCCCCTTGTCCTCTCTTCTCCAGCCGCCTGTGGCTAGAAACTGCACCAGACCAGCTGGGGAGGCCTAACTCAAAACCAAGTTAGAAGTTTCCACCATTACCTGGGGTTGTTACACTTCTAATTACTTAAACAAGACTGTTGGCTGCTTAAAGTGACCAAAGGACTTCCTGTCACCTTCTCCTCATGACTGGAAAAGTCAGGGGACCTGCCTGAGTTTTTTACCCAGGAGCAGGGGCAAGACCAGAAAAATTTGTATTTCGGATTCTCGAGGGGTTCGTCTATGTTGGACAAGAAGCCCTGGCAGGTCATAGGCATTCACTTGTCAGCTGGACTCTTCCTGGTCTTCCTCTCCTGGACAGGGTCTGAACTAATCCACACTCAGCACAAATAACCTAAACCACAACATATTGTCTGTGGGATGAGAATGTGCCAGGGGAAAGAACACTCAAGTTAAAGACATTGCTCTCTGATTTTCGATGTCACATGTTAGCAAACTAGGGCAGTGGGCATCCTTGGTGATGGGGAGGTGAGGAGAGGCAGGTGGAGGTGAGGGGAGGCCTCTGGAGCTGTCAGCCTGGAGAAGCAGGTGGCCCTTAAAGATAACAGCCCCACATGCCGTGCGCTTGGGACAACGAGAAACCGTTTAGGACGTGGCTTACTCATTAGCAAGATGCATCCTGTGGGACTTGGAGCAGGCAGACTTTGAGGTCAACCATGTGACATTTCAGACCTAAAAGGGAAAGACGAATATGCCATAACCTGAGATCTACTAACCCACCTTCGCAGGGGGTTTCCAGCAACACTGAAGTTGCCTTCATCCAGGGAGAAGCCAAATGAAGCTAAATAATTCACAGCTCACGACACCCATAGTGGATCCCATCCTACTGCCTGGTCTGTCCCGTCATATTGTCCAGCTCTGCCCTGGGTGCTGCTGCATAATGACTCTTCCAACTGTTTCCTATCCAAACTCCTGAATAATGAGAAAGAGGAGAAAGCTTGGCCTGAAATTTAAATTCTGGGAGATCATCTTCTACATAATCATTTCCCTAATCATTTTATAAAATACATATACACAGACACATACACACATATATGGTCCACCTAGAGTAGATTCTTGTAGACTAAAAAAAATATTTTAGGGTTACTGATTCAAAGGACATGCACCCTGTGTATAGCAGCATTATCAACAATAGCCAAATTATGGAAAGAGCCCAAATGTCCATCGACAGATGAATGGATAAAGAAGATGTGGTATATATATATACACATACACATACATACAATGGACTGTTACTCAGGCATCAAAAAGAATGAAATCTTGCCATTTGCAATGATGTGGATGGAGCTAGAGGGTATCACGCTAAATGAAGTAAGTCAGAGAAAGACACATACTATATGATTTCACTCATATGTGGGTTTCAAGAAACAAAACAGATGAACATAGGGGAAAGGGGAAGGGGGAAAAAAGAGAGAGGGAAGCAAACCATAAGAGACTCTTAGTGATAGGGAACAAACTGCAGGTTGATGGAGGGAGGTGGGTGGGGGATGGGCTAGATGGGGGATAGGCATTAAGGAGGGCACTTGTGATGAGCACAGGGTGTTGTATGTAAGTGATGAATCACTGAATTCTACATCTGAAACCAGCTTTACCATATATGTTAACTAACTAGAATTTAAATAAAAACTTGAAAAGAAAAAAAATATTTTAAGGCTAATATAAATAGAGATCTGTTAGTACCACGGTCAATTTTATGCCTTTGATACGGACTGTGTTTATTCCTGATTGTGGTACCCTATCACATTTTCAAGACTTAATATGGTGGAGGTTGTTTTTTATATGACAATAAGTGTAGCAAAGATAATGTCATATTTTATGACACAAATACTTCTTAATGACCCTCTAGAGGTTGAGTTCCTTGCTCTTAACTCCAGGTTGATATCACAGTCAGAGATTTAATCAACAGACTTGCAGCAATTGATTTTTATTACCAGCTCTTCATAGAAAGAAGCTCCACATCACAGTCCAAATGTGCCAAACTTAACATAATAGACACGCCTGAGAGGCACCTATCCCCAGAGCCCACTGCATCACACCACACCATGAGCTGGGATTCAACCCCATACGGACATTTGGATTCCGAGTTTGATTCAGTAGTAAATGTGATTTTGATTGTCACTTTATATCAAGTCCCTGGGTGGGGCCATCCTTTAAAATCTTCTAATTGTCTAAATCTTGTTCCCTTTACAAATCCAGGATTAGACATTAAATGCCATTTGCCAGATGTGGTGTCCCCAGTCTCTTAAATGTTTGTTTATTCAACTTGAAGCTTTTCACACTTTTTAGGAAAACTGGAAGCCCATTAAAGGGTATTAATTATGTTAGTATTTGCCAGAAAACACTCGAGGAAAGCAATGGTTTGTTTGTTTTTTTTTTAATGCAGAGCAAAATCAGTTGGATTAAAAAAGTCCTTTCCATAGCTTAACTGAATACTTTCACAAAGCAGATGTCTTTAGGTTAGACAGTCTTATATTCCCTTTTTCCACAGCAAGTTCTTTATGTCTACTGGCTCTCTTCGCCAAATTTGCTTTCCTACAAGAAACTCTGAGAATGTTCATAAAGGCTCTAAGCGTCTGGGAGTTTGGGCAGGGTCATAATGATGCAGGAATGACAATGAACAGTTTTTCATGATTTCCCGAGTCCCATGAAGGGAAGTCACAACTGACAACCCAGCGAGTAAAGTGTGACATGATATCAGTGATGGTTGTTTTGTTCTGTTTTTGCAGGTGTGGGAGCGATGAAAGAGATGTTAGGTCATATATTTTTGTCTCTCTAAATCAGCTGATGCTCCTGGAGACCACAGGCCTAGTCATGTTGGGGGTCACTCCTCCACCTTCTTAACGTTGTTGGAAATTCTCTGGGTTCCTTCAGTACAGAGAATTCAGGAGAGGCCTTTGGTCTTCAGGTCACTGTAACCATCCCACAGAGACCTGTCCAATTCACCAGGCCTCTAGAAGACCAGATGGTCTCACAGGCCTGGTGCTGGTCTCAGCAAAGGGGATCATGCCCTGTGGTCCTCGAGACCTGGACTCTTGCCAAGATCCCCTTGCTTGATAGTGACCTCACCACCTCCCCTGCAAACCCTGCACAGGAATGGGGTGCTGGTCCCTAACATGCTCAGGATGGAGCCCCCTGCTCACCTCCTTGTCTTGAGCAGATCTTTCCTCTCCAGCTCCCTCTCTTTCTTTCGTCTTGAGTATCTGCACGAGTATCACCCGATGGGGTGGACCATCTAGGAGGTGGTTTCCATTTCAGCTATGACAATTCTGTGATTTCACATTGTGTTCCTTGATGCCCACTTTGTGTCTGACCGTGGCGACAACAAACTGACCGTGGTCATTGCAGATCCCAGCCCCACTCAGCTCCAGGCATCGAGCGAGTTCTCCCTCTGCTTCTCGCCACCTGCATGGAATCGAGGGTCCGTGACTGTGGGCCAGGGTGCGGTGCTTGAAGCTGCCCCAGAGCCCGACCGGTATAGACGTTAGTCCCCCTGACTCATCCCGGTCCTCGCTGCATGCCGGCTCCCAGGACTGAAGGACAGGGAGGAGGTTTCATAGAACTGAGTTGGGCCACGTTCTTCAGCTGGTAGCGCACATGCCTTCTGGAAAGCAGAAGTGTATTATACCCCAGCTGCCTAAATTCCTTTAAGCCTCTTCAGACAGGCTTGCAAGTTCATTTCCATAGCTCATTAACCTCTTTTGGATAGACTAGCTCCAAAAGATTGAAAAATGGTTTCTTGCCTTTGAAGGGTGAATTTGCGGTTCTCAGCTTTTTTATGCCATGAAGGTATTCGATTCAGGAAGGAGAGGCTGGGTCTGGCTAAGATGGCTCGAAGCTGGTGTCTTCTTTTATTATGCAGTTCCAGGGAAGGGCGGGAAGATCACACAGATTGACGAGCTGCATTGACTGCAGAGGGTCCAAGCTCTGCACATCCTATGTTGATTGCAGAGCACGGTGATTGTCATTTGCCTGCCACTGTCTTTCCCGAGGAGCACCGTGGGAGCAGAGGGCCTGGGTTACTGAGGCTGGGAAGGGAGGGTTCAGTTGTCCTCAAGAGAGAACTGCAGTCCTCCCCAAATGTAAATGCTTAACATAGATGAATTTTTAATGGAAATCAATTTTGCTCCTCCAACAAGGCTTTTGGCTTCTTGGAAAATATAGACCGTTCACTGTTGATTACTGACATTATATTTCCTTTTCTCCCCCTCTCCCCGCACCCCCCCTCATTCCAACCTGTTGGCAGCTGTCCGTACCTAGCAGTGAAAATCACCCCCGCCATCCCCGTGGTTGGTGGCATCCTCTTCTTCTTTGTGATGGGGACCCTGCTGCGCACCAGCTTCAGTGACCCGGGAGTCCTTCCGAGAGCCACGCCCGATGAAGCCGCCGACCTGGAGAGACAAATAGGTAACCCCGAAGGGCTGCCCTTCCCCTCGGGTCCCTTCCCACGGGGGCTTGGCCGCCGTGTGGGAGGCGGGCCAAGGTGCCCATGCCGGAGGGGCAGGCAGGGCGCTGGACAGTGATGCGTAACCCGGGAGGCGTCCGGGAAGTCCTCGTTCCCTCGGCGGCAGGACGGCCTGAGTAGGAGGTGGGATGTGAAGTGGTTGGAGATAAGGCCAACGGCCAGCGGTGCCATCAAACAGAGGTGCCGCCATCACCACGCTCTGGGTCCTGATGTTTCTTTGAAACCCAAGCCCATCTGAGAAGTAGTCTCTGTCCTGAAAGACCCATCGCTGTAGGCGGCTGCTCTCTGTTCCCTTTATAATCATCATACTTACTGCTGGTTTCCATGCCAGAAACCTGGGCAGGTTACATCTTCCCCTGCTGTCTCGTTTATCCAGCCTAGGACCCAGAAACTTCCTTTATTAAGGCAACAAAGATATATATTCGTGATATATATGGAGATGAATAGCTTTCGTTTTTCTTAGATATTGGAACCCTGTACTGAAATGTAAAAAGTTTACAGCGACCCATTTTAAACATATTAGAACAAATCCTAATCCCTCACAGGGCAAACTTGCAAAGTTCTATTTTTAGTTAAAAAGAGCTTTTTCTTGCTCTTGAAAGTTTGCACTTGTGAACATGTAGCCTTGCAGTGACACGATGATGATCTGACAAGCGTGGCAGAGGACTTGTGGTGACTCTGTGTGAACGTAAAGCTTAGCTGTTCCGCCTACTCCGTGGGCTTCTCTTCCCAGCCTCACTCAGCCAAAAGGCCCCCACTTTCTGGTGTCACGAGATAGGAGTGTGGGTCTTGAAAGGAAGCATGTGCTGTGGGCTGCCATCCCCAGGTACCAAAGCATGGCTGTGTCCTCTGGGCATCTGCCTCCATCCTTCGTCCCGGCCATGCAGGAGGGGAGCAGTAAAGGAGTCCATGATGGGAGTGTATGGTGGTGGTCTGCTGGCCGCAGCCTTCTTGTGTCCTGAGGCAGGCAGGCAGAGGAAGGAAGAATCAGCAGTGGAGAGACAGTCTGTCTCATATCTAGTGCATCTTGGGATTTTAAGACATTAATTATATGTTAATTCATAATTTAAAGCCTTACATTTATAACATGTGAATCATTTGTAAAGGCCATCCAGGGCTATCACTGAATTGATCATACCCAAGCAAGTTTGGGAAGAAGATTTTATTATTACATCCATTTTGCAAATAAGGAAACAGAGCCCCAAAGAGGTTAAGTGGGAGAAAGTGGCAGAGCCAGAGCCCTGAACCCGGGTCTCCTGGGTCTCAGCCTTTATTCTTTCCAGGGTGTCATGTCATGGGGAAGAGACAGGCCCAGTTTCCTTCAGAAACAGAACTGGGCCTGTGGAAACTTCATAGCCTCTACCCACATCACCTTAGCACACAGCTTGAAAATCTTCTACTCAAGTGGTACATAGAGAACCCAGCTCTTTACACTGGCTTTGAAGCATTTTCCTGCTGTGATCCTATTTTCTATCCCACCTCTTGATTAGTGCAAGGAGCATCTGCAAAATCAGCAAGATTAGGAACCGGGGATGATAAAGAGTGCCATTGGAATTCTCTATTATAAATGCAAATTCTAAGAGGTACAGAGTTTCTGTTCATCCTTGTTAATATTGAGGAAGTTGAGTGATCCACTAAAGTGGTTTTTTTTTTTTTTTTGGCTTTGAGTTGATAACCTAAGAGTGGTTTTTTCAACATGAGTATTTTTAAAACTGGCTCTGCCCCATGCCCCCAGAGACTCAGAATCTGTGAAAGTACTAGATGGGGTAAAGGATGAAACCAAATCTTGTTTCAAATGAGGGAGAGTAGAGGGTCTTTAGAGATGGGATAGCATGGCAGACGTGAGTTGCTGTACACATCCCTTCCCCAAGAGGCAACAAGAAAACTGGACAAAGTAGTCACAATCATTTCATGGCTCTAGAATTCAACTGTACTGCGGGGCAGTTATTCATGAAAATCTAGTGGACTTTGGGTAAGAATAGTGGGTGTCTATGACAGTCTCACTTGGGGCTGCTCCAATGTCCACCTGAATTCCAGAGGTGAGGCAGTTCTACCTGGACAGAGCCGACTCTGAAAACCAGCAGCTTATCTGTCTGAGGGGCTAATTTGCTTTGGAGTGAAGTATGGGAAAAAATCAGTAACTGAAACTTTCACCTTAAGAAACTAGAAAAAGGGCAAACTAAACTCAAAGCAAGCCATAGTAAGACCATATTAACAAGAGTGGAGGGATGCCTGGGTGGCTCAAGTCAGTTAAGTATTGGCCTTCAGCTCAGATCATGATCCCCAGGGTCCTGGGATTGAGCCCCTTGTCAGTCCTCAGTTGGGCTCCTTGCTGAGCGGGGAGCCTGCTTCTCCCTCTACCTGCTGCCCCCGCCCCCCCCATTTGTGGGCTCTCTGTCTCTCTCTGACAAATAAATAAATAAAATCTTTAAAAGAAAAAAAAAAGATGAGTAGAAATCAATGAAATAGAATACAGAAAACAACAGAGAAAATCAGTGAGACCCAAAGTTAGTTCTTTTAGAAGATTAACAAAATTGACAAATCTTTAACTATATTATTTGCCACCCCTTCCAAAAAAAGACACAGAGAATATACAAATTACCAAAATCAGGAATGAAAGCAGAGGCATCACCATTGACCCTAAGGTATTAAAAGGATTTTAACTTTATGCCACAAATTAGACAACTTAGATGAATGGACAAATTCTTAGCAGGCCACAGTTACCAAAGAATGACTCAAAAAGAAATAGGAAAGCTGAAGAAACCCATAACAAATAAAGAAGTCGGCTGTCCATATGTAGAAAGATGAATTTGAATCCTTACCTCACACCATACACACAATTTAATTCTAAATGGATTATAGACCTCAATTTAAGAGCTAAAACTCTAAAACTTCTAAAGAGAGCATAGAGAAAATTTTCATGACCTTGGGTTAGGCAAAGAGTTCTCACATAGGAGTGCCTGGGTGGCTCAGTCAGGTAAGGGGCCGACTCTTGATTTCAGCTCAAACCATGATCTCAGGGTCCTGGAATTGAGCCCTGCTGGACTCTGTGCTCTGCACAGAATCAGCTGAGTATTTTCTCTCTCTCCTTTTCCCTCTGCCCTTCCCCCTCCACTCATGCTTACACACACTCTCTCTCTAAAATAAATAAATTAAAAAAAAAATAGAGTTCTTATATAGACACCAAATGCATGATCTGTAGAAAGAAAAAGATAATAAATTGGAGTTTATCAAATTAAAAACTTCTGTGCTTCAAAAGATACCATTTAGGGTGCCTGGGTGGCTCAGTCGGTTGAGCGACTGCCTTCGGCTCAGGTCATGATCCTGGAGTCCCGAGATCTAGTCCCGCATCGGGCTCCCTGCTCAGCAGGGAGTCTGCTTCTCCCTCTGACCCTCCCCCCTCTCATGCTCTCTCTCTCTATCTCATTCTCTCTCTCAAATAAATAAATAAAATATTAAAAAAAAAAAGATACCATTCAGAAAACAGAAAGATAAGCCACAGACTGGGAAAAAGTATTTGCACATCATATATCTGATGAAAGTATCTTGTACTTGTATCAGAATATATTAAGATCTCTTACAACTCAATAATAAGACAAACAACCCAATGATAAATGAGTAAAGGATTTGAACAGACATTTTTCCAAAGAAGATATATGAATGGCCAATGAACACATGAAAGGACGGAAATGCAAATCAAAACCACAATGACGTACCACTTCACACCCACTAGAATGGCTCTAATCCAAAAGCCTGACAATAACAAATATTGGTGAAGATATGGAGAAATTGGAACCCTCATGCATTACTGGTGGTGATGTAGAATGGTGCAACCACTTTGGAAAGCACCTCCCCAAAATTCCTCAAGAAGTTAAGCATAGATTACCATATAACCCAGCAAGTCTGTTTCTAGGTATATATCCAAGAGAAATGAAAACCTATGTCTCTGATGTGCATTATACTTAATACCCCCAAACTGGAAACAACCCAAATGTCCATCAGTGGGCAAACTGATAAACAACACATGGTACATCCACACGGTGGAATACCATTAAGTGATAAAAAGGAGCCCAGTGTTGACACATGCTATAACATGGATAAATGGTAAAAACACACCAAGCGAAAGAAGCCAGATCAGAAGGCTACCTATTGTGTAGTTCCATGTGTATGAAATGTCCAGAAAGGGCAAATCTGTAGAGACAGAAAGCAGACAAGTGATTGCCTGGGGTGGGGGCAGGAGTGAGGGTCGCCGCACTTGGACGGGAGAGAACTTGCTGGAATGGTGAAAAGGGTCTAAGAGTGGATTGGGGTGCTGGTGGCAGAACCCAGTACATTTCTTAAAGGTCATGTTATTGCATACCTCCAGAGGATAACTGCTAGGTTTGTAAGTTAGAGCACAATGAACTGTCCAAAAAAGAGAAGAGGAAGGGGAGAGGAGGAAGATGGAGCAGAAGAGGAAGAAGGGCCCACTCGTCTCTAGTTGTATGGCGTTAGGCTGGTTCTAAAATGGGAATAATGACACATACCCTATAAGGTTCTTCTCAGGATCGGCTCAGTAAACAGTTGGGGTTTTTGTTTTTGTGTTTTTAAAAAGAAAAATTCTTCTTTTCCCACCCAGTTCTCTCCTCGCCTTCCACATACATAGATTATCATAAAAGAATTCTCCACCTGCCACATGATAGGAATAAATGGCAGAGCTGGTCTAATTCTTTATTAGGATTGCTCCCCTGTATTGCTTGGCTGTGGAGAATACGATTATGTTTCAGTGAAACCTTAGCACATTTATTTTGTGCTATCTGACTGAAGACAGAAAAATGAAAATTAGATTTGGAAACTTATTATTATTAGTTATTAATTCTAATTATCTGTAGGAGGTCTCTCCTTATAGAAGTCCATGGTAGGCACTTGAAACCAGCCATCTGAGCAACTGAGTGAAGCTGTC